CGACTCATGCGATAAGGAGCAACCGAAATAGGCCGAGTGTCTGGCTGAAGGTCTATAGTGAATTCGACTTCTCTGTCCACTTGTAGTCCAGATAGTTCATCCGGAAATACATCCGAAAATTTTCGGACTACTAGAATCTCTTGAATATAAATTTTTTTCTTGAATTTGCCTAGTTAGAAAAAATAGTCGAGTTAAAGCACTTGATAATAGAAAAATTTGCCATGGAGGAACAAATGTTAAAGAATTCTATTAATTTGTAAATGACTCCTCGTTAGGAGTGTTGAATACAATTTTTTTATAAAAATAATCTACGGTAGCCCGATATGCCGCTAGCTAGTTCATTCCTAAAATTACATCAAAGTCTCCCGTGTCATTTTTTATTAGGTCCACACTCAATTTCTTATATGCTATATGTATGACACAGGCTATGTATATAACATCCCTCAGTAGTATCCTACTCCCAAGAGTAAACATAAACAACATAAAATCAAGTCTTTCAGGTAATACATTTAATTTTGATGTAAAAACATGTGAAACAAATGAATGTGAGGTACTAGTATCAATTAAAACATGTGCAAGATGATTACAAATAGTGTACGTACCATGTACTACGTCTGGGTTTGTTTCTGCCTCTTGCTGAGTGAGGTTGTAAGACCTACCCTGAATAGGAGGTCTGACCTGGTTCTAGTTCCTTAGGCACTCCCTTGCATAATGCTGGGCACTTCCACATATGCGACAGGTGTTGTTGAGGCGATAGCAGGGTTGATCTCCATGATTGTTGCCACAGTGGTATGTCCTGTCGCGTCCTGTTGTTAGAATCTGAGGGGCAGTTTGAGTCATCGGCCTAGATCTCTTATTCTATTGAACAGGTGCGATAGGTGCTGGTCTGTGGTATGGAGCTGAGGGCCTGAGGTTCCCCATTGTTAGAGAAAAAATATGAAGGTTCCTCTCTACTAACTGTACCTTGTCTAGAACAATCGAGTAAGTACTGAGCTCGAACACATACAACTGTTGTCTAATCTCAAGACGGAGACCCCACTCGAATTTTTTTGCCTTCCTACCTTCATCCATCATGCTCTCAGGGGAATACCGGCCCAACTCTAGGAACTTTCGAGCACATTCTGATACAGTCATGTCACCCTGGACCAGGTGTGCAAACTCCATTTTCTTCAGATATCGGATATGCTCTGAAAGGTACTCTGGTTGAAAGACTGTCAAGAATTGTTCCCAAGTGACTGGAACGGGCAAGGTGGCCTACTTGAGTTGTCACCAGCGGCTTGCCTCTCCCACCAGCATGTAGGTAGCAAAGATGACTCTCTATTTGGGAATCACCCTAAGAGTCGTGAAGGCATTCTTTGTCTC